CAGCCGTACGGCCTCCCCCCACGCTGCCCTGCTCCATTTTGTGCCGCCCGCACGCCCACAGCGCCGGGGGACCTCTGCTCCCAACGCAGTGCGGAGGTGACACCGAACACCCCCGGTCACCCAGGGCCAGGGCGGCCGCCACAGCCCCAGCAAGGGTCAGGGTGGCCCTCGCAGCTGTGGAGGAGCTGGGCTCCACTGAGCCGGGTCCCGGGGCGGCTGCAGAAGGGGAATGGAGTCCTTCACGCCCACCGTGATGTGTCTGATCACCCCGAGCTCCTGCTGGCTGCAGGACCCCCCCCCCACCAAGGAAAGGCACCCGAGTTCTCGTGCAGGTCCACAGGCGCTATCACTCGACTGTCCCGCAAGCCTCACACGACTCAATGGCCGTGCAGCCCAGTGGCCTCACGTGGAGGAGCAAACACGGCTGAACCTGGGTGGGTGGGAAACCCTGGGAAGGTTTCCAGATAGAGCGGTGAGGGCCTGGGATTGCCTTCCAGAACAGGAGCAAAAACCTTATTTGCTTTCCAGAGGATGGAGCTTTATCACACGAGGACTAAGCCACACGAGCGCCAAGAGGAACAGGGCCCTTCCAGTACAACAGGTCCGACCCCTGGGAGGTCCCAGGACAAAACCCACCAGCTTCTGCCGTGCTGCCTTTCCATCCAGTGACCAGCCTCGAGCCTCCCGAGGCGCACAAGGGACTTCGCACTTTGCTCTTGCCTTTGCGAACTTGCAGATTATGCTAAAGAACTGAAGAGAGGGCAAGGGGAGCAGAAGGGAAGGAGAAAGCACTGTGGACTGTCTCCATTTCAGAGTCTTTCCTCCTTCCCCCCGCAAGGGCACGAGACCAACTGCTCATCCCCAGCCCGCGGTGCACGGGTGTACAGCACTAACAAAACCAACTCCAATATGAAATGCTGACTGTATTTTTATAGACTTGTATTGCTTTAAAGAACAAAAAAGAAAAACGGAACGAATCGAGCAAAGGGCAGCATGATGCGAGTGCCAGAACAGCAGAGCTCAGACCCCATCCGTGCCTTATTTCCTCTGACAGGATCACAGCCCGTTGCATCTGCCACTTAACACTAACTTCTCCGTCACCACCCATGGTTATGGACAATGGATTAATTCAGCTCAAAGGAATATGATCTAACATGTTTCATACCCTTAACCCTCCGCACACCCTTACACTGCCAGGCTCACTTTCCTGAAGAAATGTTTTCACGTGCCAAACGCATCAAACCCAGTACCCGCTCCTCACTGACGTCAGGACGATTTGCAAGATTACCAACCTGCTCAGAAGGTAATAGCAGGAACCGCCGACACTGACATCTCCCTTTTGGCTGGCATGCTTGCTGCAGACTTGGCAAGAAAGCCACAACCTTACTAAAATGCTTATCTTGTTCAGTTCTTTGCCACAAAGCAAACAGCTTAATTTGTGCCTCTCTTAATCCTGCAGCCTACCACAGCCACCGCTATGAGCCAACACAGCTCCTCTTCTTGACTTAGGCTGCCACGATGTTTCAGGATCGCAAACTGCATCACCAGAGGAGAAAAACCATAGGAAACTTATCCCAAGTATCCTAACAAAAATGAATGCAACTGCTCTGTGACGGAGTTAGTATTCTCTCGTATTTCCAGCCTCTGTAACATTAAAGAAAACCCAAAATCAACACAGGGTTTTTAGCCAAATTAATAACAAGTGGTAAGAGTTAACAGACTGATGATAGCTATCTGGAGACTGCTTTGACTGCAAAATATATAATAAATTATTTCAAGTTGTGACAAATGTCTTGGCTAATGCGGCCCACATTCTATGTTTAGATCTTACTAAAATGTAATACAACATTTGGTTTTAGTTTTTTAATTATAATTAAGAAGCAAATTCCAGTCCACTTTAATCTCTCCACAGCCTGAATTTGCACACGGAATTACTGTCCCCACTGTGCCAATCTTTCCCACACTCAATATTCAAATCAAAGGAAAACCAGACATTCTTTCCAGCAGGGCTTTTTTTGTGTATAAAAATATAGCCAAAGCAGAAAATGGGTATTTCTAGAAGTCCAAAGGTTAAACCCTCATCTCTTGCTCAACGGAATCTCTGTGGAGCAGGTAACATCCCACACCCTGGTGTTGTGAGAGGAGAACCCAAACAGAACAGACCAACAACTCCACTTTTGACGGACTGAGGAGAAGAAGTGAGGACAAGGAGCTACCTTGTCTGTCAACACGCACCATCTTCATCAGTGAAATGCCTCTTGGATCCGTTTCCATAGAGGCTTCATTCCCGTGGCTCCCACATCACACCTGGAAGGCCAGGTTTAAGCGCCAGTAGCATTTAAGCGCCATGAGGTATTGCATTAAGGCGCAGTGACACTCCTTGACGTGCTGGATGAGCAAGCTGCCCTCAGCTGATGGGCACGATAGGGAAGCATAGAAACACACAGGCGGTGGCACGAAGACCTGTGTGTTTTTGAAGGAGTTCGCACAATCAGATTGAGAAACAGGATAATCCAGGCAGTCCTGCATCGGTTATTTCATAAGTGCATGTGTTTTACAAGCACGCAAAATCTCTGGCTGCACTTCTGCAGCCTGATCCTCACAGACTGGCTCCGCTGGTGTGCCAAATCCTGGCAGCGCCAGCAGGTCAAAACGCAGCTGGATGACCGCATGCACGCAGCTTCCGCGGCAGGGGACTGCGTTCTGCATCCTTGCAGCAAGAGCTCTCGGTGGAGGTGAGGCAGCGGGAGGCAGGTGAGCAGGCTGGAGGAAGACAAGGCTTGGTTCATTCAGCCTGGAGAAGGTTTGTGGGGACCTGACGGCACCCTTCCTACGAGGAAGGCATCAGAAAACCAGAGCCAGGCTCCTCACAGCAGTGCATGGTGGGAGGACAAGGGACAAGAGGTGTAAATTGAAACAGGAGAGGTTCAGACTGGGTATCAGGAGAAACCGTCCTCCAGGAGGACGTTCAAGGAGCAGAGCTGGAGCCCAAGAAGGGCTGAGCAGTCGCCTTCCTCAGAAGTTTTCAGCACCCAGACCAGATAATGCTCAGAGTGATCTGCTGTGAGAGGGAGGTCAGACTAGAAAGCTCCCGAGGTCCCATCCCACCTGAATTACCCAACGCATCCGTGCTTCCAGGCTGATGTCTGGCTGTAACCCACCACTAAACACTTCACCTGACACACACGGCAGCGCCCTCACACGCAGTCTTCCAGACCTCCGAACCGTCACACGTCTCAAAAGCAAGTTGCTCAACTAAGCCCAGCGTGTGCTCTCCAGTGCTCACTGAACAGCCGGCGGGTATCCACGCCTCACCTGGCTTCAGTGAGCACCGAGCTTTAACAGATGCTTTTTCAGACAAATGAGGACCTTTCCGTGGATTTGGGTGGGGGAACTGCTGAAATCAGTCCCAGCCTGTGGCCGTGGGGCTGCGCTGGGACAGGACACCCTGCTCCCCGCATGGACTCTCCTCCGACTGCCAGAGCCTGACTCAAGCCCAGAAGCACAGACACACACTCCAAAAAGGTACGGGCTGTCCCGTAACGGCCCTGGCTGCTCTCGCTCTCCGCAAAGTTTCTCTTCATATCCTGCTACGCTTTTGGCCACGCCGAGGCACAGAGGCCCACAGTCTCGTCACCGCCTGCTCGGCGGGGCTGTGTTGGCCGTTTGGGGCTGGACGGCCGCCCCGCTGAAACCGGGCAGGACCGTGCCGCCGATGCGCAGCGCCCGCAGCAGCCCTCCTCCGAGGGAACCCAGGCAGAACCCGCCGAAGCTCTGCGAGCTCGGCAGTGAAGTCTGCACATGCATTAAAAAATAAAAACCAACAACTATGAGTTTTCTGAAAACCTCCCTAATCTCTTCCAGAGGTGAGGAATCCTGTGCAGCTCTGGCATGGCAGGAGCAAACACGGCAGCGAGGAGGCTATCGCCGAGTAGGGGGAAGAGGGGCTACACTCCTCCACTCACGCGAAATTTGCAATTCTCTACAAGACCCAGAAATGGCTGCCAGCTGAGTTGCAGGACTCAGAAAGCCCTGGAAATCTACAGCATATTTTCTTCCACTGCTCTTTTTGCCATGTTTTCCTTTCAGCACAGTACAGCAGCATGTTTATGCTGGCCAAGCCTACCCTCCTCCTTTCCACCGCACCTTCAAGCAATCCAAGCACAGGAGATACAGTATTACCTCAAATATTTAACCAAGGGATTAAACTATTCTCTTGGCAGAAGGTGCGAGCTGCCCCACGGATACAGCTCTCGCACCGGCTGGCAGGCGCTGCGTGACAGCCTGCTTCGCAGCAAACAATCTGCCCCGGGCTATGAAAAGCTCTCCGCAATTTTCTCCAACGCTTTTTCGCTAATATTTCTGCTCACCGGTTCCCGGCCATCCATCGCCTCCATCCACAGCCTCCGGTCCTCTTCTGAGAGCGCCTGCATGGTGATCACGCCAGGCCTGCAGAGATAAAGAGAACACCATAAATAAACTGCAGGATGGAAAACAAAGATGACAAAGATAAATTTCCCACAAAAGAGAAAAGAGAGAGAAAGAGGACAACCTTATTCCTAGCCAAGCACCAGCAGCATGGGGCTGAGCCCAGCCTGACCTCTCCAGGGATGTCCCTGCAGGTCCTAACCAGGACCAGCAAACGAACAGAGGGTATCTCCAACGACGGACACACACCTTCAGTGGTTTTAGTGTCAGAGAGCTGGATGCCAAATTCTTCCTCTGGCTTTCAGCCACACAGCTCACCCGCACTTGGGCTGAGCACGTCCACGCAATGGCAGGAGAAGGCAAGGAAGGTAACCAAGCAAGCAGGAGACCCACACACCCCAGCCCCCCGTGTCCCCACCACCACCCCAAGCACCAGCCTGTGGGGAGGGACCTTCTGCTGTGCGAGAATTTCATCCCTGAGGTGGCTGCATCACTTCCCTGACCACGTCCACACACTGATGTTACAGGCGGCAACGGCAGCAGTGTGACCCTGGTCCGGGCGCCTGCGCTGTAAATCCAGCCTCCAAAAAGTAACTCTGGCTTTGCTTATTTAGAGAGAAGGGGAAAGAACAGGCCAAGTGCCTGCAAAGAAAACATGGGGAGCCAAAGGACAACACCAGTCCAGCCCTTGCCCTCCAGCCAACGCCACCTCCACCACTCCTAAGTCCACTCCTGGACTGCCCTTTCCATACAAGGAGTTAAAACTTCAATCATGTAGCTCTGATAAGCACGACCACCAAGATCACAATGGATTTAACACGGCAGAGAGTATTTGCACAGCTTCAGGTGTGGTTCTGTGTTTGCATCTGTGCCGCCGCAGAGGGTGACAGCCAGCGCTGTACTCCCAGAGGTCACGCCATGGGCTGACGATTTACTGCATCTCGCTTGGCTGCAAGCTGTCAGGCTTTCCATCCTCCCCATCCCAGCTCTCCTTGCAGCCAGCAGAGGCAGCCACAAAAAGCCTAGCTAGCCCTACGCCTCCTCAGCCTCACGCCTTTGGGTCCTGGTCCCCAGCCTCCGAAGGGGCGGTCGCATCCTGCCCCGCTGCTGCTCCCGGCAAACCCCGCCATGGGGCCGGGCTGCCCGCTGCGCCCCTGGGGGAGCAGGGAGAGGCGTGGGTCTCGGTGAGACAGCCGAGATTTATTCGGTGCGTTTGGTCCCGTCGTTCTGTTTCCTCCCAGGCTATTTTCAGGCGCATTAGCAGAGCGCAGCAGCTCTTTCTGCAGGAGGAGAGCGGGCAGAAGCCCTGGCAGCAGGGGAGACGCAGGCACGGCCAGAGCGCTGCACGGCTCTGCGCACTCAGGGTGGTTATCGGCGCTCTCTGTGCAGCAACGCTCGTGGGGTTTCATCATCCATCGAGAGTACAACAGCAGAGAACCTCTGACACTGCTCTCCCCATCCAGGGCAAAGCGCAGCGGCTCCAGAAAGGCAGCGGGGAGCCAGGGTCACCGCTCGGGGGGCACCGGGCTGCCGTGGCACAAGAGCGGAAGAGCTTGGGAGCTGCCAACCGCCTGCAGACAGCGTTCAGCAGAGCACGTAGGCTCTTTTCGGTACTAAATCCTCAAAAACTGATAAGGCGTGGGAAGAAGGGTAATTCCTAACTT